GGGTTTCTATGGAGGGACAAAAATTTTCTGGAATTAGTGATGATGGTTGCCCAATTGTGTGAATATACTAAAAACCACTGAATTGTACACTTTTAAAGGGTGACTTTTATGGCATGTGAATTATATCCCAATTAAAAATATATATATGCTCCACCCAGATTTCCCATGGCTGTTTTGTGGAGGAATACACAGTACAGATGCTCTGGGAAATTTAGCTTAATTCCTGAGACTCTGCCATGAAAACAGCAACACTATCACAGGCTAACTCAATCATGGATGATGTGAAGGATACCTCTTGTGAAAGTAAAAAAACAGTCATTAAGGCTTGAGGAAAGCTTGTCAAGGTCAGTGGTTGCAGGAGTAATTATTACCTCCAATGAGTTGTACATGGTCCCAGGTCAGTGGGGTCATTGTATAAACAGGACAAATATGAGGAAGAGGAGAACCTGCTTAAGGAAATGATCAATTATAACAAAAGGTTATGTGGGCACAGAGGAGAGAGGAGAAGAATATAGGTACTAGTGAAAAAAAGATTAAGAACAGATTGCTAAGGTTTCTGTTATAAAGGAAAACCCTGCACAATGAATTTCAACTCTGGTTGCTCATTTGCATCACCTGGAGAGCTTAAACAATTTATGACCACCTGTGCCCAATCCTAGGTAGCCTGAGTCACTTGGTGTGGGGTGTGAACTCAGCAGTTTTTAAGTCCTTCAGGTGATCCTAATAGGAATCAAGTTGAGGGATGCTGTCTCTACTGCAATGAGCTTAAATCCAACTTCAGGAAGGAGCTTTCTCCACTTTTACAGTTTCTAGGTGGCAGCAGAAAAAGGATACTGAAGACTGCAAACCCAGTGAATAGCCTTAGCTTCAAAAGGTTTTGCCCTTTCATAATTACTCTGTAAAGGGGTCAGAAATCTCAAGAGTTATTAGGTAACCACAGTAACCTAACTGATGAGGCTGGCCCTCAGGGAGTGGCAGTGGGGTTGGATGAGGGAACCAGAGCAGTGCATCTCAACTCTGGCTGCATAGAAATCCTCTGGGGAGCTTATAGGCGTATGATGCCTAGGCTCCATCCCCCAGGTTTTCTGATTGACTTGGTCTGTGATGGGGCCCCAGAAATAAGTATTTTTTAAAAACTCCCCAGATGCTCAAGCTGGAATTGAATTATCTGGGACAGATAAAAGAAACTCTTCAGAAATAGAATAGACAGCCCTCAGGACTGAGTGGATTTGGGTAATGAAGGAAAAGGAGGAATTGAATATTACTTCTAGTCTGAGTAAATTTGGAGGACAGCTTTTAAAATGTGTAATCTTAATCTATAGTACATCTAAACAAGGGACTAGTTTACATTTATTAGAAAGTGCATATATGAGGGACTTTTTTAGTCACAAAGGGAAGTTTTGTTATATTAAGAAACAAAACTGTAGAAAAATGTATATACAATGTGACCTCAACTGTGTAAAAACAGAAAAGAAATCGAAAGAAAGTGCGTATAAAATTTCCACACTTGTAGCTCTGAGTTATAGGTGATTTTATTTCCTTTATTATATTTACTCTATTTCTCCAAATTTCTAAATAATCATATATATTATTTATAATAGAAAAGGATGTAAAGGAAGCCCTCCACCTCAAATATTAAAATATTAAAGTTTTAGGACTTAAGGGGGAAAACTTTTAACTCTTTTGAGAACCTGCTTGGATTAACTTTGAGCATATGTTCATCTAAATTTCTATATTAATATATCTGTTTTTCCAGGGTCCCTACTTGAACACCCAAAATGACTTTTACCATGGGATTCAGAAACGTCTTGCAAGACTAAGACTGGACCTGCTAAGGGTATGTTTGCAATAGCTAACTAATACACACCTTTTTTTTTTTTTTTTTTTAGAATTTATTTATTCATAGAAAATTACTAGCATTAAGTCCATTTCTGCATTAAATGTATAAAGTGGTTTCTGTTTGCCTGACAGGATACTGACTGTTACAAATGCTATGTCCATAGAATGGAATTCTGTACAGCCATCAAATTAATGTTGAAGTAGAACACTTCGACACAAGGAAATTCTCACAGTATGTTTTAAGTAAAAAAAATGAAATTGTGAAAAGTAAATATAGTATGATGCCAATTTGGAGATACACACAAAGATACTGATAAGTATTACCTCATGATCTGATATCATTTTGTGATTGTTTTCTTTTATGCTTTACATTTTATGCATTTAAATGTTCTGTAAAAACATGTTTCTTTTATAATTAGAAAATATTTTATTTTAAATTGTTAATTTTTTAGGATATCTAAATTAATATTTGGTTTCAGGTGCCATGATACCTTGTGTAACTGCCCTCTTTAGCAATATATTCAAAATGACATTTATTTTAAAAAAATAGGTGACAAGAGAATATTGTCTTACCTCTGCTAACAGTATTCCAGGTGAGATTGCAGTCATTCTTGTTGCCCTGTAATCTATAATCACCCAGTAGCATCTGAAGTGAGACATGAGCCATTTTTTCTTTCTGCTCTCTTTCTAAATAATTCAAGTCACCTTACCACATAATAGCTGCTGAAGTATCCTCCTGACATGTATCCCCAATATATGTTCCGCTCCAGATAATACATTCAGCAGCTATATGAATCTTTGATTATGAATAATCTTATTAAAAGGATGTTATGCTTTTATACTGACTTCAGTACCTGTGATGAATACTGTATTCCTGTGACATGGAAGATATAATTGATGGAGATTTGGCTCAGAAGAATTCAGCCAAAAAAATGATAGTTCCAAGTATCCAGGTCCCGTGCAGTTTTTTTTTTTTATCATTTTAGTCATTTATATCATAATTTTTATTGACTCTTTTTGAAATCCAAAGATAGTATTCATTGACTTCAGTAGGAATATCCTCTACATGATGGTGACTAATCTATTTTAGTTAGATTCATTTATTAGACAATTATCTTCATACTTTAAGAAACCAATATATAAAAATTAGTATGTTGAAATTCTATCTAGTTACAGTGAAATGTACTTTAGACATTCAAGCATGGGGATATTATATAACAGAATCCTATTTATTTAAATGCATTAGTGGGTAAATTTAAGGTGGAGACTGGGCCAGCAGAGCAGAACATTGAGCTGATTATTAATGAGTAAACCACTGAATTCAGTCAACATACATAACCCTGGCCATAAACTTCCTTATGTTAGAATTATCCCCATCAGTGATCTAATGACTTCCAATAATTGAATTATATCATGATCACAATTAGAAACACTTAATGGTTGACTGTTGGCATCAGAATTTGAACCCAAACGGTCTGATATAGGAGCCTGCACTCTTGACAGGTTTTGGAGTCAGACTGCCTGGGTTCCTTCCTGGCCTCTACCACTTACCAGTCTTCACATATGTAAAATGGGGACATTAATAAAGTACTTACCTTATTGTCTTCACATTAGACAATATATGTGAAGTGTCTGAAACTGTTCTGGCATAGTGGGTGCTCGATAAATGTTAATTGTCATTCTAATAACACTATACCACCTCCTGATTATAAAAGTTTAGCTCTAAAAGGGACATCAAAGATGATTAAGTTCACAGTTTTTCAACTGCAGGTCACAGCCTGTTAGTGGATTGTCAAATCAATTTAAGGGCTCACTTCCAGCATTTAGTAATGCAAAAAAGAATATAATCATAGAGCAGTTATCAAAGTGCATTGCATGTAATAAGAATAAGTGTTGTTTCATGAAATATTTGTTTTAGAGGGATAGCAGACATGATTGGCGCTCTGCCCATATAACTTCAGGTCTCTCTTGCTGGTTCTGCCCATTTCCCACCATATTTGTGCTTCTCTCCAAAGGAATCTTACCTGTAGTTCTTCAGAAAACTACCCTTCAGCTGCTGGAGACACATTAGCCTAACATATTTGTATTATTTACCTGTTACCACATAACAAAAAATTTCAAAAATCTAATGATTTTAAAATGACAAAAAATTATTTTCTGACAGTTTCTAAGAGTCAAGAATCTAAGAGCAACTTGGGTAATTCTGGCTCAGGATGTCTCATGAGATTTCATTAAAGCTGTTAACTGGGGCAGTAGTCACCTCTAGGCTCGGCTGGGGCTGGAGGAACTGCTGTGAAACTCACTCATGTGGTTTTTGGCAGGCCTCAGTTCCTTGTTATGAGAGTTCATGTCATGGACCTCTTCATCAGACTGCTCATAAAATAAGACCTTGCTTCCTCCAGAGGCAGTGATCTAAGAAAGGAAGAATCCAAGATGAAAGCCACTGTCATTTATATCTTAATCTCAGAAGTGATATACCATCATCTCTGCTGTATTTCATCAGTTCCATGGATCAGCCATGGAACAGTGTAGGAGAGAAATACACACAGGTGTGAACACCACAAGTCAGGGATCACTGGAGACCTCTTTTGGGTACTGGCTACCACAGGTACCATGAGCTTAAACACCTGGGGGGTACATCCTGCTGGGGTGGCCTATAACCAGCAATTGACTAGCGATGACATGTGAAAGCCCAGCTCTCTTGCCTCAAGGTGAGTCAAACTCTGTGGTGTATTTTATGTTCCAGAGTTTCCCATCAAATCAGGCTGAGGCTGACTTCACCTGAAATCTTACCTTTGGTTGATTTCAACCACCTTCCTACTCTACCTCCCCTATTCCCATACTAGTTTCTTCTGGGAACACATCCTTGATAAATCACTTGCACTCAAATCCTTATCTCAAGGTCTGCTTCTGGGAAACCCAGCTTAGAACAGGTAGGGGGTGGGTATGTGTGTGTGTGTTCTATATAAAACATTTATTACTGTGAGTCATGGTATAAAACGTTAAATTAAAATAACCCAACTCTGATCTATATCTAGTTTCTTTATTTTACAACCGAGTAAACTGAGGCCCAAGCAAGTAAAGTAGTTACCCAACCCTTAGTGGTTAGATGAGCCCCTGGTTTTATTTTGACTTCCTATACTTAGCTTCTGGTTGTAAAATCACTTTTATTGGATTGAATTCCACCTCTGTCACTTGATAGTTGTGTAACTTAATTTAGTCCTTCTGGGTCTTAGTCCCCTGATCTGTAACCTAGGGATAATAACTGCTCAGTATATAGACATGGTTGGATAGAAATGAAATAAAATTCAAGCCGATTCACTATTCCCTGGCTTTTTACCCTTCAGTTATTTTATTGTAATAAAATACACATACCATAAAATTTACTACTGTAACCATTTTTAAACATACCGTTCAGTGGTTTTAGGTACATTCATATTGCTGCACAGCTATCACTACCATCCATCTTCAGAACTCTTTTCATCTTGTAAAACTAAAACTCCACCCACTAAACAAGAACACCCTATTCCCCTCTTCCCCTACTTCCTGTCTCTGACTTCCCATTCATTGGCTTTTTGACGTTAAGCAAATGATGCACTTTCATTCTTCTCTTGGGAAGAAAGAGGCTAATACTAGTGTATATATAACCAATGGCAGCTGAAACTACAATCATTTATTTGGAAGTGCTCTGTAAACTATAAAGTACCATAAAAATGTGAATTGCTATAGTTATCATAACACTATACCTAAACAGTACCCCAAATCTTGCTTATTCATTTGATATATAAAAGCATATATATATAGCTATATCTATCTATCTATCTATCTATCTATCTATCTATATATATACACACACACACACACACACACATATATATATCTCAAAGCATTATAAGTTTTTTGTCAAACTCATCATTTCAAAGCAAACTACATTAATAGTAACATTAAGCTTATTTCTCTATTTTTCCTTATGGGCAAATTATCTGAAAAATAATTTTCTGAATGAGTAATTTTATATTTTCAATAATTTTTAGTTATGTGAAAAAGCATAAGAAGACAAATTATAAATGTTTAGAAGGTTTTTACTTCTCTGTATCTCATGAACTGGTAATATTTATGACAGTAAGGTAAAATTTGATAATGTTTAGCCTCAAGGGATCCTTCTTCTTTGAGTAAAGAAGTAGGATGATTTTATGGTATGTATTAACATAAGCCTATCTCTCCATTTGGAGCTTCTACCACTCTGTCCTGATCAAATATTTCAAAATTTTAAGAAGAAATAGTTGAAATGTATCATGTAAACAAATTTTAGCAGAAACCAGAAAATATGTTTAGAAATGTAGTAACTTGAGGCCCATGTGTAGAGAAGAACCTGTTTGCACTTGAGTTAGCCTGTCTGCAAATTAGAATGAAGTCGCCTACTCAGGGAAAAAATAAAGCCTGATTTTGGCTGAGGGACTCTAAAACTAGTTGTTGTTGTTGTTGTTGTTAAAAAACAACTGAGTTTATTGAAAACCGTGGTCCACTAGGTGGAGAAACAAACATCCATATATATTTCTGGTGGAAAATAGTATCTCTTATAAAAGGCAATTTGGCAATATTCATCAAAATTACACATGCAGTTTGGACCCAGGAATTCTACTTCTGGATACATACATGTGTGCACATACAGGTCACTTATTCTGTCATCTCTTTCATAGCTGAATAGATTATATAGATAATATAGTATCTCTAAGCAGTTGAGGAGACTTGGAAACCTGCAGGCATCAAAATGGACATTTATCTACCACACACGTACACACACACACACAAGAAAATGTATATGCAAGGTTGCTCATGTTAGCTTTTTTATTTTGGTAATAGTTAAAAGTTTGGAAATCACCCAATATCTATCAGTTTGTCTGGTTTAAGAAATTATAATCCATCCACACAATAAAATGCTATGCAAATGTGAAAAGATGGAGGATGCTTTTTATGTGCTGATAAGCTACAAATTCT